AATAATTACCTATACTATTTTTTGGGGTTCCGTATTATAGTTATAGTATAAAGGACCCCAAAACCTTATTCTTATCATTAAGGCCCCTAAACCCTAAACCCTTATAGTAGCCCTTATAGACCCCTTTAAAAGGACGCAATTAAGTGCTCGTGTTCAAGGGTCTCGCAAGGGATTATTACGACACGGTGGCACATAAGGCTTCAGTGGCCAGGAGTATTGGAGAGGCGATAGATGGAACCGCGGGCACCCGCATCCCGTTGGACAACCTCGATGGCTGAATAGGGTGACTCGTGCTGGTATCCGTGCGGCCTTGCTTACTTTTATTGGCAAGGGCAGTGCGACGTCATACGTGCGCGAGCTAATGGATGTGGGAGTTTGTAAACTCTTCGCGATATCCTTTGTGGTCACATCGAAGGCCGGACCCAATGGAAAAGGCGCGGTGTGCCAATTCTTTGGGATTCCTACAATCGTCGGTGACTCTGAGGAGGTCTCCGATGATTGTAGAGGTCGTGGTCTGTATGTGTACCAGGTTAGCTCAAGCCGGAGGTTGCCGTCTGTGCCAGTTGACAGGCTTCTCGAGTGAGCAACGGCCGATCATGCAAAAGACCTCGCATACAATTCCAAACTGCATTATCAATCCAAAGTTCCCCGTTGCTTTGTGCTGCACCCGGGGTGGTTTCCTTGGGCCCGAACAACTCTAATGTATAGGTTGCAGAGCATTGTAGAGGTTTAGGGTTTAGGGTATAAAAAGCTGTAATGTATGGGTTGTTGAGGTGAGGTACCTTTTGCTAATCTGTAGAGGGAGCACCAGGTCCATCCAGGTCCTGTTTCCCGGAGGATCATGGGACTTAGTAAGTAAGGTTATAAGTCCCTTAATTGGGGTTATAAGTAAATATCAGTACAGTTACTTTAATTATAACCCTACTTACCAAGTCCATGATCCTTTAAGTATATCTTGCAAGCAAACGCCCTCCTCTTGGCAAGGCAAAATCAAGCGATGGATCCTGAATCATGCGCCTCTCGACGGTCCAGAGTACGTGTTCGAGCTCGTAAGAAGAGGTGCCGCATTCGTCAACTTAAATGAAGTAGCCCTAACCCTAAACCTTCATAGTAGAATCTGCTGCAAAAACGGGCCCCCTCTAAACCCTAAACCCTAA